TTTAACCTTTAAAAAAGATCTCCATTTCATTTTAAAATATATTGCTTCTTATAGAAAGACTCATTGTTTTGCTAGTAACACTGAGATGTTGGCACATGGGTCTCTAATCTGCATGTATCTGATTATTACTAGTCATAGTCAGTTGCACTTGGATCCTTGGCACCTGTGTACGTCTATAAAGTGATCGGGTAGATTTCAATGGTAATTTTTAACACCTCTACTAATTAACATGACGTAAATTTTTATGCTTCCTCCTCAAATATAATTCATTTTTAAAATTTGTTGATTTTCTTGTGCATTGTATATATCACACAGAACATCCCAAGGTTTTTTAAAAGACTGTGTTATATGCTACCATAGGTCATTGTAACTTATAAATTAACTTCACTTACCATGAGGCAGAGACTCTTGGGGAATTACTTAGGTAATCAGCTTTACTACATGAGATAACAGGTAAGCCTCCACTGGAATCCTGGGCAAAAGTATCCATATGAGAAGCCGATGTGCCCCTATATTCTGTTACTGGGCCAACAGTTCTGGTGAGAATGTTCATTGTTTTTCTTTATGAAAATATGGCACAAAATATTTGATTACTGTGAAGTTCTTTTCAAATTTATGTTGAAGATTCATCTGATGAAAAGAGACTGTGCGGTATACTTATCAGCCTTTTATACTATCTAATGTACCTAAGGATGAACTTCTTCCACTGAAGTTTTCAATCCAATGCTGAATTAATCTGCATCATTCAAATATAGACAAGGACAGCTCTAATGTGCAGAGGATATCACCATCTGAACAAACCTCAGGCCTCATTGTGACTTGAGAAGGTTTGCCTCTGTCTCTAGAGTCCAACTCAGATCACATCCAGAATTACCGAGCCTACTTATCTGTGTAAACCACCTGCTACCTATTACATGTAGCAATTTCAACTGCTAGCCAGCCAACCTATGGTCAACTCTGTAGTCAGATGACCCAGTGGTGAAATGTTTGACCCCAGCACACATTATGTGGGTTATGACTTCATCTGCAGAATTAAACTGAGGTCATTCACATAAATTCATCAAGCACACACACTTACACAGGAAGATGCGCACACATACTCATATACACAAACAGTAACAGTGATGCATAATGTATCATGTGGTAGAAACACTTTAAATCCTGTTGGGTTTATCCCTTGTTTTGACTCCATTTACTGAGCCATAGTTCAAATGCACTTGGAGTTTACTGTCAGGTGGATGACAACAAATTCTTGCCAGGTTTTAGCTACTAGGTTTCTGTGACAGAAGAATTA